AAGCATGAAGTGACGGACAGCTATTGCTAATCTGTCCAGTGCCGCTTGGCACGTTTATGAGCTGTCACAGCTCAGAGCAATATCATCAGCATACTCTAAGTCAAGAAGTCATTCTCCTGGGAGTAGCTCCACACCTTCCAAGTCGTGTCCTGTAAACGCGATTTCCATGACTTCGTCAACTGCAAAGTCGAAGAGGAAAGGTGACAGTGGGCATCCTTGTCTCACGCCGCTGGAGATATTAAAGGGCGACGACAACTTGCCGTAAGCCTTCACTGTGCCCTAGCTACGAGCATATAATGCTCGGATAATATTCACATATTTCTCAGGTACACCTTTCCTGAATAGACAGTCCCAAAGTGCATGTCTATCGACCGAATCGAATGCACCTTTTATATCGAGGAACACGACAGCGGTGGGTCGCCAATATGTGTGACGGTGCTCCAACAACTGAGGCAAGGTGAAGATGTTGTCAATGCAGCCACGACCTCGGCGAATTCTAGCTTGCTCTTCACGAATCTGGCTTTCATGAGTGCCAGTCAGTCTGTGAAGGATGACAGAGGCAAGCAATTTGGAGGCGTTGGAGATCAGACTGATTCCTATATGGCTGCCGCATTCCGATATTGAGCCTCCCTTGCAAATTGCTACTATGATGGAGCGGCTCCAGTCAGTTAGGACAGCTTCCTGCTTTCACAGTTTCACTAGCAACTTAGATACATCATCCACAAGTGCAGGTCCTCCGAGTTTGAAGAGGGCTGGAGGAGGATCAGCTGGTTCTGCGGCTTTATGTAACTTCAACAGTTTATCTCACGTTCGACTTCTGAGCGAGAGAGTGGATCCAAAGGAACAGCCCACGAACCAGGGCCATCACTGGTCGGCGAGAAATCTAACAATTCCAACTGATTAAATTGCCTTTAACAGTGCTCAGCACAATGCTATAAACGTTTTGATAAGTTGTGGATAGGCTGTTCACTCTCGCCACGCATATTTTCACTAACATCTGGTCTCCTGCTGCCCGTTTCCCCTATCAAACGGAATAACTTACGATGGTTACCAAGGGCAGCGGCCATTTTCATCACTGTTGCACGATGAGACCACCAGGATTCGCGGTCTCTCTTCAGACTAGCACGGAGTTTTGCCCGGAGTTCTTTGCGAGTTTCATTGTGTTCGCTTCCAGCCGGAATATGCCGGCGAGCATCTATAAGTTCTAGAGACTGTGAAGAGACCCAATGTCCATGGTGGCGAATAGGCTTACCGCATGAGGATTTGTCCGCTGCTAGTAAGGTCTGGTGAATATGAGACCAGTGACCTTCACTTAAATCCGGAGAGCGTTTATCCAACTCGCATGACAGCGTAATTTTATAGGCATTCAGAGCAGCTGGCTTCGACAGTTGGTCGGTGTCAATGCGCTCCCAACGTCGTCGTGGGCGTCGCTAAAGAGCACCCGCAGGTCCGCACATACAAGTGCATGGTCGGTGTCCACACTTGTGCTCCATATCGAGAGACAGTTCTAGACGCAGCCTCTCCAGCGGTAACTGATAGCAATGTGACCGAATTGCGTCCAAAGCTGGTTCGAGGCTGGTGGACGCCAAGTCACCCTCATGCGGGTGCTGTGTCGGAAATTAGTGCTCGCAAGGAATAAGCGAGCATCTTCACACAAATGAAGTTACCGCTCACCGTTACCATTACGGGAGACTATACCATGTTGGCCGCCCAGATGCAGCTCATCGGTGGACAATTTTCCAACTTGAGCGTTCAGATCACCGGCCAGCACTACAGTGTCCGAGCTTCTTCTGTGGCTACTCAGCTACTTCATTAGACGATAAAGGTCGCCTTTTACAGAGTCATCTCTTCAGTTTGTCGGGTGGTAGGCAGCGATAACGAATAGACACCTGTTAGTCCCACGCGACTTTGAAGCTTTGAACGAGCCAGCCAATCGGACCGCACGCATCCGGCTACTGGTTGGAATCCAATCAACCAGAGTAGCTTCAGCTCGGGGACTCAGGGCAATACCAACACCGGCTTGGCCGGTGCTCGAAGCTGCATCCCCGGATAGGCGTAATGAGGAAATGCTGCTTGCGTCACCTGAAGTGGATCGCAGAGTGAGTACAGAGCTGGAGTCTTGCAGGCGGGTCTCCGATAAGCAGCAGATATCGATCGAGAGGGTCTGTAATGTTCGGGCAAGTGCTGCCTGTGGACCTGTCTGAAGCAATGTGCGAACATTGATGCATGCCAGTCTGAAGGAGGATCGAAGGCTCCAAATGGAAGCCGATGAACTGGAATGGGCCGCTTGCTTGGACATGAGCCTGTTGACAGTGTAGGAATGAAGCTTCGAGTTCACCTGTGAGTTGAAACTAAAAGACAAGCGACTATTGAAGCAAGGTGGGGGAGGGCTGAGAATTGGGGACTTGAAAGCCGAGGGGGATAAAAGTAAAGCTGGAACGGGACGATAAGGGTGAAAAAGCGCAAGATGGGGAATAAGAAGTTGGTAAGGCTTGAGCAGTAGCATCCAAACCCCTATCCACCCTGCTCGATGCAGCATATAGGGCACCGTTGATTATCCTCCGGGGTGGCCAGAGCATCAAGAAAATGTTTGAAGTAAGATTCATAATATTGCGTGGGCAGAATCCTGCCAGGTTGCTCATGCCTTGACAGGAGAACGATTAGGGTTCTCAACCAAAGCCTTTGGTTTAAAAACCTGACCGCAAGGCAGCGAGTTTGGCGGTGAGATACAAGGAGTCCGTTTCAAGGAATAAGGTGCCACTCTCATTCCAACCATCAACATGGAGGACCAGGAGGCTGAGTTTGTCTGCTTTCTAACCATTGACCCATCTGGTATGAGTGGCTTTGAAGGTGCAGAAGCAACACCCAATATAGCTCAATGGATCACTGAGGCACACAAACCATCGCACCACGGTAAGGTCCGGCCTCATTGCCATGGAAACCATTTGTATATGGGTTTACTTTAACTAACGATTAAATGCCATCAGTTTTGGACTTACATTTTTATGTCAAGCGCAGCGTGTCATGGAGAAACGTTTCACTGAAACGTTGCAAATTTGGCGGAAAATAAATCCCGGACTTATAGCGCAGTCTTATGTCATCGTTGCCAGATTGCTTTATGGAAGCACCCTTTTCAATTTTTACACAGTTTAAACGTTGGCTGATTTGATGTTGCCCGCTTAGCAAAATTTACTGTTTCTAGTGTACGTGGCTGCAAATCCACCCACATAGAAATAAAAATCATACGCTTACATGAGTTCGTTGACTGATTCCATCTTACCAATAATAAGATTCACACAAACATATATATGCTCTTTTGCAAACCTGCAAATACTAACTAGTAATTTTCGTTAGCCCTAATTTTAATTCTTGTCAATGGTAATTAGAACGGATAAAATGAAATCAGCGCTACACGGAGGCAATAGGTGGCTAAAACTGATCACTCAAACTGTGGAACAACATAGTAAAGTAGTACCGGTTTGGTCACATAAGCTAAGCAAATAAAATTCAATAATAGTAAATCCCTTACAAGACTTTTACGAAAGAAGTATTTCATGATAATACAGACAAATCCGTATAGACGGGAACTAAGATTTTAGTGAAGCACCCTAGTATTCAACAAAAGTCATATGCACTAAACAAGTTTTCGCAATGCAAACAAATAGGAAACCCAAAGTTAGAGCCAAGAACAAGGTACAGAGCATGAATAAGTTGAATATACATTCCAGCTTCCTGCTGTGAACAACTTCAGAGCAAGGGCTTTAAATGTATACACCGCCATAATTGTTAAAATTTCGGCACGCTATTTTCAATGAAGCAACGAGAAATTGCAGATTATTACAAGGTGAAAATATGGAATTTGCAATGTTATTCACAAGCTTAGATCGTTTTAACTACAGGCCAATCTCTGTTCTCGCAGTGTCATCCATATTTATGGATGGTATAGTGGCAGTAGCGATCATCGGATGCTTTGAGAGAAACTGTCTTATTTTTAACAAGAGCAACAACAACAACCACAATAACAACAACGACAAGGATTCCGTCGAAAGCAGTACTGCACCAAAACTGGTTAGTTAACTGGACAAACTGGGCAAAGTCAGTCGACGCCAGACAGGGAATCGACGTTGCTATAAAACAAATGACAGACAAAATTCGATTACATTTTCCTCCGCATGTTGACTACCTAGATAGGGGCTGGGCTGAACGAAAACAACACATCTATTTGTACCAGCACACTGGTAACTTCTGATCAGGCAGTTACGTTTGTTACACTTTAATTCCCATGTTTCACAAGTCGTGCTTGCAACGTTATGGTGTAATTAAAATGGGCTTGCCATGATGTATGTCAAACTTAACAGGTCACGTTCCAGGTGCTTAACATAAAGAGTTTTCGTCGTTGTTAATAAAGCCTAAACGAAAGCTACAACAAACCATCAAGTTTTACTGATAAAATCTGGTTCATTAATCTACACTCATGCGCGCACTACAAAGCAAGGATGATATTGTTACATATAATATGATAATTGCACGGTACTCTCTTGCTCTAAATTATAATTCCAAGTTTCATATGTCAACTGATTATTTGTGAGTACCTGCGGATACGTAGCTTCTTCGCGTCTCCATCTGTGTAGGATGCTGAAACAGGGTTCACGGAAAATTTTCTGAGCACTTGGCTTGAATACAATGATTGACAATGGAGTACACTGTCAATTTGTTCACACTTGTGTTGTCGCCGAGAGTCGTGAGGGTGAATTATTGTCGTGCGAAAATTATGCGATGCACGTTCTTCGCATTAGCAGTGTGCAGATCATCTGCCAGCCTACAAACTCTACACACCAAGTCATCGTTTAGTTTGCTAAAGTTCACGGCAGTACGAATGGTTCTGTTGGCAAAACGAATCTCAGTGGTGGGTCGCGAACTCGAAAACCGTGGGTGAAATTCGACCTGTGAATCTGATATATATATGTGCAATACGTTTTCACAGGTTTAGATGCTGAAAGATGTTCCACCGTTTTGTGCTCTGTGGCCTGTTTGTGGCCATAACATTTGGTTACACATGTGAGTTTGATTTGCGATAGTCTTGTTTAAAAGCACAACATATGGTTATCAATTTTGCACACTTTTATTGTAAGACCGCAGAGAAATTAAGAAGATTGTTCGTAACTTAGTTATGGTAATCGAAAATTGTTGAATTCAATTTTGCTTAGTTAATGATGTACTTGTTTTCATCGAACTATTGCTTATCGTACTTTATGCGAACAGGGTTAGCTACTGACAACCTATTGCAGTGTTGGCAGCATTCAATGAAGCTTTTTGTATAGCTATATACTAGTAACTATAGGATAAAAGGAAAAAGCGGAACAGAATTCTAGTGATCGCAAAGTAGCCCAACTATTGTTTGTGCGTAGTACATCCAAGTTAGCAAAGGCCATTATTCCGAATGTGTATATCTTCATCATTTTTCACCAACAACTCTAAATTTGATATAACTGCGTTTTCTACCAACCATAGCATAACGCTGCAGTATATCACCTTTATTTACATTTATTTAAAATGGGAAAGTTCAGTTTAAAACTACTTTAATATCTCGTTACAATTGGCACATAATATTTTATACAGACAAGCAGGGTCGGAAATCATGGTGATATCAAAACATTACTATGCAAAATGTGGTCAGTGTTGATTGGTTTCAATTACCTTGGACATAGACTTTACAAATGATCTCTAGTCGAGTGCTTGCGCAAAATATTATACATATATATATCTTGTAGCTTTTATAAAAATTTTTGTACTGCAAAAATTGTGGCGGGCGATTTAAAGACCACGTCAATTGAAATTTAAGAAGGCTTAAATTGAACGGACCACTGGAAATATTGGACTTGCATATATCGTAAATTGTGCAATATGTAAAGTACCTTTAATAAAAGCCTATAAATTTTGGCGGATTTTCTTCAAAGCTTGATTGCACCCTCAAGTTTGGCGTATCCAATAGCTCCTTGAAAATTATTACCTATAAATAGACTGGTTGGACTTCGCGAGTCGCAGTTTCCTATCTCCAAGTTTTACATGTAATTGTATAAACGCAACAATATAAGGGAATCACAAAATATATATATGATATATTTTCAACTACCTTACTATATCGAACGATTTAACCTCACTTCACTAAATAAGTAGCTTAATAGCAGACATTTCTTTTCATCTTACTTAAAAAGTTGCTGGGTTTCACCGAGTAATTTTCGTTACGTTACAAGTTCTAATAAACACAGACGTTCGTTAGAATTGTCAATTACGCAAACGTTTGAGGCACATGTTTCCATAGAAAGTTTACTGCTTTAGCAAGGAGTGGTAATGCTTCTGTTTTACTTCACGATATCAATCATTGCACACTTCTACCTGTGCATTTATTGAGGCAATAGTATACGTTGATATGTTGCAATAATATTTCCAGGCTATTTGATCGATCAAGTCATTGTTGAAAATAAGTAGCAGGTAGTAGTACCGTGCAGATTGCAAAATGTAATATTATTTTAACATTTGAATAGTTGTAGTAGAAAGCCCGTGCAATTTATGTATACCCAAATTGGCCATAATGTATCGCGTGCCTTAGTATTCAAAAGATGTTATTCTAAGGCTTTTGCCTTTGCTGCAATGGAAAAGTCGTTACTTTTCCAATCGCATATGCAAATTACTTTTAATACAGGCTAATTACAAATCATATTTCACCTTCAGTGTCTACCAAAAATGCGAAAGAATTTGGACCTAACTTTGTCGTTAATGGTAATAATCATCATGGATCCGAGTACTTTGATGAAAACGGAGTACCTGTGACTGGTAAGTGCAGTGTGATGGCATTTTTGATATATTGACGAAGAAATGATGGATGCCTCCCAAGCAAACCACATTGCCTATGCGTTTTCGGCGCAACCCAAAGAATAATCTTAATTTTATCAGAAATACTCGTTGTCTAGAAGCAGCTTAAGTTTGCTTCCGTTTACTGTAGAACTCTTAGCCTTCACACTTTCAACCACTATAAGGCAACAAATCTTATTCAGGTGCAACTGTCCATTAGTTACAATCCTATCTGCACTATAAATTTACTACGGCTGGCATGTTATCTGTATTAAACTTTTGCCGTGATTCTACGATATTTTTGTATTAATGTATCAGTTTCTTGGCACATTCTGTATCACAGTAGGTAGGTAGCATTGCTGTTTTAGCTAATCGTGTCATATAATTAAACTTATTTCTCTCATTGGGCGCATGAGATTCAATTCAGGTTAATCATACGCGTTCGCGCAATCCTGACTGGTGTCCTGGGTATCTAAACGACGGCTACCAAGTATAACACTATATTACTGGGTATCCGGAAATACAATATGATTCAATGTGCAAAAAGGAATGCAGATGGCATCTATTTGGCGGAAAATGTTTAAAAGGTATTCAAAAATCTCATAAGGTATATTATGTCCGCTTAATTGAAACCTATGAAGTTATATAATTTGTCTTTCCAGACCTTATCTAAATTTATTTCCTTACAATAAGGCGAATTCGTGAGTGCATAATATACTATCGCTTCCAGCGGATTTCGATGAAACGTTGCTAGTTTCTGTATTAGCGTTTAAGAATATTGGGATTGATGTTGCGCAACAACATAATCAACGCCGTCTCCATTTCCACTTGATGACATGTTACCGCGGTTTTTGGCAGTTGAAGATGGGCTCTTGTTCATCTTTTCATCTGCTCCATTTCACTGCCTCATTATATTTCTCCACCAATTTGGCAGGTTTTCACTTACCCTCTGAACTAACTGCTAGTCGGTTTTGCTTATGCAAACAAAACCACCACTGATGCTGAGCTGACTAATGATGTGAGACTGAAGTTTCAGTTAATCATCAATAAGAGTAATAAGGAACAAGGTTTCACATGGTATGTTAACTTCGCAACTCGGCGATCTCGAAAATACGCGTAAGGTGGAACCGTTGGTTTTGTTCGAGAATATTTTTCCATGGAATTCTTTAAACAGCAAGAACAAAGATACGCGCTTTTTTAGTGAACACTGGTATTTTCTTCTTATGTTGTTCGCAGTTTATCTGAAGTAAATTTACCGAAAACCCAGCTGAGACCAAGTTTCCGTAGTAAACTACTTCAGCTTTCAACAGCTTTGGGCTGCAAATCTGTCTGGCTCTGTGTGAAATAATTTCCACTAGGTCACGTATTTTGCGACAACGGCTGAGCTGGATAACTGAATGTGTTGCTAATTCCAAGATGACATGCGATCTACCGTGCGTTATAACTTACGAGCTGCTCCTTCACCAAATCAGTATATACGAGAATGACAGGCTGCTATGTTGCTGCAAATCATGTGGCACCGATAGATTTGGAAAACCAACTCAGAACTGTCAACTGCCGTACAAGTTAGTTTCACTCATGATGACCGCAAGTTGCCTTTCAGACAAATCTAGGAAGATGTTTGCTTATGCTGGTGTCAGAGGGCTGCCCTTGGCGATGCCATCCGGCTGCTAATATGCAGTTCCATGAAACACAAACTGCATATTTTGTGTGCACAGTTGAATCATATCCCTCAAATACTCCAAGGGCAGTCAAACACACGTTTTTCACTGTTGACGAAAACGAACAAATTGTCGTCCGTCTCAAGTTAAAGCATGTTTGTGAACAGGGCGTCAACACCTATTGGGTACATGTTAGCAGCACGGATGGCAAGTGTTTCAGTGTCCCGGCTAGTGCAAAGAGTCCTTTAGGCATTATGTAGCCAAAATTTGGTGCACAGGGATTAATAAATTTGACAGCCACCGTGCAGCGATATGCGACTTCGAGTTGTTCATGCACATATTCTGGCGCAGTGCATTACCTGCATTGTGTGCTGTAGGATGGTCCCTTCTTTCTAGGTGTCTGAGTACCAGTCATATGCCACAAAGTGTATCGTTACTCATTGATTCAATCTTGTGGTAAGCGAATGTGCAGTTACCTCGCCTCTTACTTTTTAACCAAGACGTTGTTTTCTGTTGTTCCATCCAGATGCTTCTTCTTTCTGTCTCAAATAGCACGCAACAAATTTGAAATGTATTTTCTTATAGCCATGCTTGATACAATTTCCGGTGCAATAACATACGGTGCCTCATTTTCCAACTCTTTCGTCTACATATATTTTTCAGCTTTCTGAGAGCATATATTTCTTATCAGAATGTTTAGTTATTAATTCGCAGTATCCACCAGCATTTTCCATTGAACCAGGCTAGAGATCTATGAACTATCAACTCAGAGACTTAAGCGGATTCCGCTTGTTAAGATTTTCTGTTGCTATTGACGGCAAACATTAACTCATTCTGAGAGAAAATGTTTCACATTGTTAGCGGGTGAACTGATCAAAATAACGTATTTTTACGTGGTTTATCCCCTCAGTAGTAAAGCTTTTGCAAGGAAACTCTTCAGATTTCGATTGGATTATGTTTTTTACGTCGGTGATTGTCAATGGAGAATGCCTCAATTTAATAAGGCAATTGCCGACAACTGATTAAGTATTAATGTAAAAACAATCTGCTGCTTAAATAAATATAACTACTTCACGATACGCGCCGATTACGCAGACGCGTGCTTAAACAGTTCTATCAAAATTTGTGTTACAGTTAACTTGTTTCGCAGCGAGAATATTCGATCTAATTTCTTCGCAACAGCAGCAAGAATACTTCATTTGGAATGCTAACACATTCATTCCCTATCAGACGTATCATCAAAACAGTGGGAATATTAATTGTAGCCTCATGGGTAGTATCCCAGTTCACTTGCCATTTCAGTGACATTTATAAGAGCAGAACTGAACGTCATTTAACGCAATGGGCAACTAACCGTTTACCAATTTGGTTGAGAAAATGTTGGCTGCTACGAAACGGAGTGGATTCGAAGATGAACCAGCGCCCAGCCTCATCTATCATCAAACAAATTTTGGTTATTCGACATAAGTTAAAAATTGCGCTTATCACAAATTTTAATCGGATTCGGTCATATAACTTGCACCTTGCCAGTAGAAGTGCAGAGTGAGGAACAGTTGGTTTTAAGCCAAACGGCATTTCCTACCTATTCTTCTGCACAAAACAAGCTTTTATAAACTAAATGTTAGAGTGATGCTTGCTAAGTTATTACACCGGAAATACAGTGCTAAATAAAAGGTCGTATTTATGCAGAACTACTCATAACTTACAAAATATATTGGACGTTTGTGGGTAGGGTAAAGTTTGTAGAAAGTAGAAGTCACGATTAAAATTCACGCGCAATAATATGCCTCGACGGGGAGTCGAACCCCGGTCCACGAATTTCCAGTCCGCTGCTCTACCACCTGAGCTGCCGAAGGCTGACGATTACGTGCGCAAATTTTAACACATGACTTCCGCTTGGTGCGCGAGGTATTGCCAATGGGCTCACAGTACCTGTCCTGATGTTGCAGATTGACTCACTCACAAACGTTACCCCACTCAAAAGCTTCCAACATTAATCTATAATCGCCCCTTGGACATTTGAGGGACAGATACTTCGGTCCATTGGGAAGCGACGTGTGAGTGAGCCAATCTGCAACATCAGGACAGGTACTGTGAGCCCATTGGCAATACCTCGCGCACCAAGCGGAAGTCATGTGTTAAAATTTGCGCACCTAATCGTCAGCCTTCGGCAGCTCAGGTGGTAGAGCAGCGGACTGGAAATTCGTGGACAAGGGTTCGACTCCCCGTCGAGGCATATTATTGCGCGTGAATTTTAATCGTGACTTCTACTTTCTACAAACTTTACCCCACTCAAAAGCTTCCAACATTAATCTATCATCGCCCCTTGGACATTTTAGGGACAGGTTCTTCGGTCCATTGGGAAGTGACGTGTGAGTGAGCCAATCTGCAACATCAGGACAGGTACTGTGAGCCCATTGGCAATACCTCGCGCACCAAGCGGAAGTCATGTGTTAAAATTTGCGCACGTAATCGTCAGCCCTCTGTAGCTCAGGTGGTAGAGCAGCAGGCCGGAAATTCATGGAGCGGGGTTCGACTCCCTGTCGAGGCATATTATTGCGCGTGAATTTTAATCGTGACTTCTAATTTCTACAAAATTTGCAAAATATACACTGAATATTTCCTTAACTGCAAAAACACTGCTATGTTTTATCTGCAACTTGTTTCTTATAATTGAACTGGAGTATTTCTTAGCTAGACCCCGTGATTTCATTGAAATTACAATCACATTTGTTTGTGCATTCCATTACAGGTAATAGGGATGAAATTCTTGGGGTGAAAAAGCGGTTCGGAGAATTGGTTGGTTGACACACTTACTCTTGTAATCACATACATATTTCACTTGCATAATATAATTACCTTCGAAAATCGGCACTGCTTGTTTGTTCCAAATGTGTTAGCTTTAACAAAATAAACAGTTGTTTGAGATTACCAATTTGATTCGCTGTTAACCTAAATAAGCAACTGCATCAGCCCTCCTTGTTCTTGTTATTGTTCTGCAGCTATTCTATCTTACCAATGCATAGATGCACCTGCCTAAATTCCCATAGTTAAAATTGGAATTTCTCCATAATATTTAAGAAATGATTATTTGAATTGATGAAGTGATAGTGTTGACAGAGTATGCAGGTGTCAATGTTTCTGATTTCTTCCCGTTCGTTGGGCTATAACTTTAACAAAAGATTGAACACTTAATGCGAGAATTGAGACAGGGTATATTATAAGTTCTTCTGCCAATGGGTTTACAATTCGCGCCATGGTTGTTAGGAGAGCCAACCAAGTAAACCACCTTAATTGGATACCTAAATATACTGCGAATCTAAAAGCTCCCCGGCAATGTACACGGCGGCAAATTTAACGGTGTTTGTTATGCTGGTTTGATAATGAAGTAACATCATATACGGAATGGAAGTAGCGAAGTAAATTAAATAGCGGTGCGAAGGTGTAATTAATTGGTTCAATCGTTCCCACGCAGGATAGTTTAGATTTCTGTTCAGATAATATTTCCAGCAAATGCAAATCGCACACGATATTGTAGCTATACCAGCATAACTTATTGCATCAAAAATAAATTCTTTTATATTCGAACAAGTTATGCCAGGTAATACAAATCGGTGTATCACACTTTACGAAATTTTGTAGATACATATTATACACATCTATCTGTACCATACTGTTTGTGGTGACTACATAATAACCAGTGATTTAGCTTTCTCCATGAGCCAACCACGCTGACAAACAAGTCAATTGAGCTTTACACTTGGCAGAATACCGTGCGCGTATGATTGACATTGGATATGCATCAATTTAATACATTTTATCTTCGCCATAATGTAACCAGCATAACATTTGACACAACTAAGTGCTAGTGCCTATTCGAACTTAAAATGTTAAGAAAACGAAGAAAACATGCTGTTCATTTTGCTTCTGTCCCCATGGCTAAATTCCCAATTTGAGTGCGCCTTTCATAACTATCACCGCACTCTCGGCACTAATCAATCTTGTGATATTGAATCCGCAAAATTGAAGAAAGTAATACAAGCGTCTTCTAAATTGGTAAAGGTGAAGTTGCCTTAGGTCAAGCAATGTTGGATCATTTCTAGTAGTATAATTATTTTGTGAGATGTACGCTAACATCCATTCTCGGTTTGTCTTCTGATATTTTACAGTGTGAGTACATTTGGTTTCATTTCAAATTTAGAGATATTACTTAGGATATGCTTATCGAAAGGTTCCTCTTTGGTCTCAGATTATTTATATTGTAAAAGCACAGTATTTATCACGTCTCTTCATTTATGTCTGAAACCGAGTAAATGCATTTAGATATGTTATGTAAAGCGAAATATCAAGATGCATGTAGGCTGAATCTGTCCAGAGTGATCAGGTCGAAATGCTATTAAGTTGCGCGTAAGCTTTGCTGTTGTCCAGTGCAAAATCACTGGCATGAATTCCCGCGGTTGCGGGCAGCCCATTTCCACCTGACTCGAAGCTTTTACGTATATTTTGCCTACGAACATGTAGATTCCATTGCGTTACTTTATGTATAATGACGTCGCTTTTAAAAGTAAAGGTAAGTAAAAATGACAGAATGAATAGTGACCACCATTTGTACATCATAATATTCAAAACAAGATCAGCTGCAAGATAAACCTAGGCCCATAAGATAATATTTATAAAACTGAAAATTTTCTCCCCTGGGTTTTAATCTACTTACCAGCTGCGCTAGAATGAAGTGTGAAGTTTGCAGTATACATAGGATGGACCCCTCGACATGGATGATGAGTTACAGATTAACAGAATTAATACCAGCATTATAATACAGGTGATCAACAAAGTCGGCCAATGCTGATCAGGTTTTTGGATTGATTCAGTCCAAAGTTGATATTGTCCTTCTAATTAAGCTAAACGGTTGATGATCCATGTTTGTCTGGACCTAGGGTTGTATCTCAAAACCGACTAACATCCCGCCCCAATTGAGCCGAAGTAACGAAATATTGTTAGCAAACATATCTATGTCGTACACCAACGGGTCCCTTCCAACATTTCATGAAGCAAGATAAACAGTTTACCTACACATTTGGAATACCCGGTGGTCTCTGCTGCAGCTTGCTTGTAACTTTTAACTATGTTTGCAAGCACATGAACAAGCGTAATATGCGCCATCATTCCGTTTCATCTAAGCTTCCAGATTTAGTGAGACCTGCATAGGCATGATGAATAAGGAGTCGGAAGAACGAGGAATCACAATAACGGAATTCCCTAATCTTGCTGCGAAAGAATTTCGACCGCTCCTAGTGGTGTCTTGCTCTACATCTGGTCTCCCTTGACCAGGATACTTTAGGCGTATACAGAAGTGATGATGCCTTGTGCGAGCAGCTGCTGGCTCGATCCATCTCATGCGCAGGTATTTGCTTGATGTGGCAATTGATGGCAGACCGGTAAACCAACGGTTGTAGTGACGCAGCCTCTTCACAGCAAATAATGCGTCCTAATCCCCTACTCAAATTAATTTCAGTTATCCGCGAATACTCCGATATATAGTATATTCCCTGACATGGTAAGTTGGAATAAAAATTTGTGGATATGATACTATTAACTGCGGTATTTACAACATACGTTGACCGATATTACAACGCCAAGCTTTACTCTATCGTGCCTAGAATTGAATGTAACGGGCTGTGGATAAAAGGTGCATAAAATTTAGATCACGGATCTCAGGGCAGTAACAAAAACCCAGTGCCTCTTGTCAGCATGGATCAACCAATTCCGTGAGTTTGGCTGCCGGAGCTAGCTTACAACTAACCGAAAACTGACCTTAACTCTAACGCCAGCCGCGACTCAACTGGATTGGTCTCCAATACAACCATCTGTGACAGGATCATAGAATAGCAGAATGCTGGAAGGAAGATATTATCTTTTCTGTCAGTAATATTTACTTGTCAGAAAGTTAGAGGAGTCAAGCTGCATTGGCTGGATAAGGAATATAATGAAAGGTCCCTGCCTGCACGCAAATTTTAGGCCAACTCCCTAATGTCTGGCTCTTTCTAGGACAAACTGGCTTAGAAACGAATGCGGCATATTTTCAAGTTCCAAAATCAGGTAAACATTTATAACTTCTGGAATGGTGTTCCAAAGAGAACATCCGGTCTCTTAAAAGGAAGCATTAAAACTAGATTTGATTTAACATAGCTTAAGAGATGCGGAATTCGGCCAATGAACTTCAGCCGGCCGCTGATATACTAAGGCTCTGCTTTGGCTACACAATTCTGTTTCGTGTTTGCAAATAACCAGGAATATTTAATAAGTTCTACGCGTACCTAGCTTACTAAACTCGAGAGTCAGGTTTTCGATTTTGCAATAGGGCTTCAACTACTCGCATACCATTGCATAACATGACCTGACTGAGCTGACGTCCCTCAACCACTAATTCTTAGGTCCCTGTAAATCAGAAAGGGTCCAGCGAGTTAAAAAAATTACATGCCGGCTTGTCTGATAGCCATTTGGAATATGGTCGCCGAGAATCCATAGAAATAATTGTTGCTGATGTACTTGGCAGCTCACACGTCGAATATATCGTTATAAATACCAAGATCATCCTGATGGTCTTGTACGTAGTCAATTAAAATGAAAGAAATATTTGTGTGAGTGGGTATTTAAAATTATGTAGACGCTCTGTTTGCAACACCACGTGTTTCGACCGATGCAAGCGAGTCAAAGAAGTTTTGCGTTGTGTAAAACCCTGGAGTTAAGAATTCAAAAGTTAAACGTAAAATATTGCAACTTTAGGAATCTCAGGTTATAATGTTAAGAAGTGTGCGGTGTCTCGATTATACTGAGCACATGCTTATATATTGGGAAATTAAATGAGTTGGCCAGAGTTCATCAGAGTTATTTTCACCTCAAATGATTTCATGAAGTCGATCAAGATCCAAAGAATGCGTCCGTATTAAAAGCATCTTCAAACGTATAGACGGCGCCTATTATTCGTACATAAACACGAAGCAATAACGATGGCTTCACGAAATTCGTGTATGAACAAGGCATCTTTGCAAGACTTAAATATGAAAGGTTGCGAATGAGGCATGTTAAACAACACAAAACGTAATATAATTTGTACTTATATGCAAATAGGAAGCACAAACGTCGTATTAATGTAAACGCAACCTTGCCCTGAAACCCGGAAATACTTCTTAGCATACCAGTTCTACATAAGCAGAAATTGATTTGCTCTTACAAACTAACTATTTCTCAAAACAAAGTTATGTGCTTTGTAAGTGAATATTAATTTATCCGGAAACTTTTGGGGTTAAAATTGGAAGGTTGCTAATCCACTGCAGTGGTTTTTTAGCTTCTCGATACCAGATGGACTGTTTAGGAGTCACAAATGAAATCGTCATTCTGTGCTTCTTTGTGTCATAAAGTGAAAGTGAGAACTGCGGTATAATTCGCTTCACATCCACATCTTGCCTGCGATTTTAAAATAAAAGCACAATGTTGGACTTACAGCGACTAACGACGACGCGGTTCAAACAGGTCTTAAGCCGCGATCTAGATTTTAGTACCACACCATAACAGAATTCCTACAAAATTATTTAGTGTTTGTTACGGAACAGCAGTTTATAAAAATAAATAGGTTGACTGTAGATGTAAATTGTTACCTGCTGAAAGGATTCAACATACGATGATGCGGGTTTGAATGGTTTCACGCATACATGTTTTAAAGGCTGGAATTATATTATTGCTAAATTGTTAACAAGCAGTTGACACTTAGTGGTCACCGTATACGTGTGTTTATCGAAAGGAAATG